AAAACGGGCAATGAACACACAAAAGCAAATAGTGTAATCTTTTACCGTAAGATTAGGCTTTAGCACTAAGACACCGGCGTTGAATTTGTCTGAATGACGGAATGTTGCACAAAAAGATCCGCATGAGAAAAGTGGTGTCAGTATAATGTCAAGCTATACGTAGAATATCGGAGATCCAGGTACATGATTACATCGTATTCAGTCATCGACCAAAGCCTCAGTTTGGTGTACTGTAACATCAATCGATTATTGATTGACAAAATAATGAATAATGGGAACAGCGGTAAAACAAACAATTCAAAAAAGAGTTGTAGCTGTGAATTATCGGACTAACGTGATATTTGGCAGCCCTCCTAGCTTGAGGTACCGTCAGTAGTTCTGTGTGACGAACTTCAATCCCTTGTGATGTCAGCTCAGTGATACTTGCATTGCTGACGTTTTCTGTTACCAGTAGCACATAAGGAACCGTCATATTCAACGATTTCAGGTGGAACGCTGAATGGACAATATTTCGGAATATATTTATTTATGAGTTCACAAGGGCATAACATATCATTCGTATCGCACTTTTATCTGAGGTCAACTAGGCTTCGAAAGCAGCTTTCGGGCTAACCTTTTTGGATACTATGGTGTCTTAAAAGCTAGCTAGGTGGCCGAGCAGCAGTGATGAAAGCAGATTAAATCGCTGAAAGCTCGAAACAGGAACCCGTGGACCCGGGGAAATGTACGAGAGCGATTTGGAGAGACTAGCACTACCTATACCAAACTCTCCCGCATCCCTTCATCAACTTTGCTTTCCCTGCTGTTAAGATGCTCTCGCCCTTTTGCGATAAACTGCACTTCGCCCTTACCATAAGGTATCCAACGGACAAAGAGATGGTCATGAGCGATAGGCCTGGCACCGCAAAACTGAGCACATCATCCAACCTCTGTTGTTCATTCTCAAAGGAACTATTACTAAGCTGTATATTAATGTACTACGCTGCGTGCAACGGGCCAGAATTTTTGCGGCACTTGGTCGAAGCCAACACCAAATCCTCGCGTAGGATCGCGCGCAGCCAATGGCTCCATAACCCTATGCGCACACCCTTCGACAACCTCGGTAAGTAAATAGACACAGGTTCACAGATGGAAAACTTTGAACCATCTCAGAATGAGAGCAAAATATGGCCATAACAAGTATTCACTTAATGACAGTCCCTACGGTAAGCGAAGCATCTGTTCGCCTTACTGTAGAAACTCGTACAGAGGCATACTGTAGAAACTGCCTCCTAATGGGAATTCGTTATGACAACTTGGCTTATCATTTTAACTGTCAGGTAACCCAAGCGAGGGATCAAACTCAAATCTGGCACCGACATGCCTTGGTTTTATATTATTACCATTTTACGCTGAAGGGTCATTTTTAGTGATTGCATCAAGAAGTCGAAACGGTTTTAATCTGAAATATTCAACCAACTTCCTAAGAAAAGGGAATTTTCTTATCGATAAGGGGATCCGACCTACAGTGAGGCCATGTTTTAGGTCATACTTTTCAGATAAACTGCTTCATAGTCGATTGATTGCATTTTGGGAACGGTGGAAAGCATCGTAAAGCATATGCGTCATAGAATACACACACAGACCAAACTACAGGTAAACACAGCGCATACACACGCACACTTGGGATGGTCC